CACCAGTATAGGTACCGGTGCTCCACATAGCCAGACCACATCGGTGTTCCCTACCAGCGTACCACACCCATCTTTCACGACTCTGTCTTCAGCTAGTGCTTCTGCCTCTTCATCATCACATAGCACTCGTCCACCTTTTGGAACATCCGGCCAGACCACCACACCCACTCTCTCTGCCACTTCTCAAGCCGAAACTACTGTTTCTGGTCCTCCACACATGTCCATCAGCACAGCGGAGACCACTAGTTCCTCTATTAGCCCTTTATCCTCTCTGGCTCCACAGGGCTCAACCTTCAGCCATGCTTCATCGAGTTTTGCATCCGTACCAAACCTGTCTCAAAGTCCTTTTACTATGTCAGTGACTGCATCTGGTACCCCACCATCGTCCACGCTTTTACCCTATACTTCGGCAATTTCTTCTCTCCCTACCTTGCGGATAACCACATCATCTATTTCTTCCCCTGTATCTTCATCCATCTCAACAACTTCAATTTCTATGAAGTCATCAACTTCTGCTATCGTGACCACTCAGCGCACGCTCCGCTCTAGTCCGGCTCAAACGACTTCTCGGGTTGCACCTAGTACCATTTCTTTCCCTCCCTCTCCACAGGCCTCAACCTCCACTAGCGCCTCCCTCTCCTCTTCCTTCAGCCCCCCACCCCAATCTCCCTCCTCCTCCCCCAGCAGTGTCTCCAATAGCACTGTTGTTCCTGCTACCTCCCGGACCACCCCCAGTGCTGAGTCCTCATCTCCCCTCTTTTCCCAATCCACATCTCTGTCCACCCCTCTTACCACGCACACTCCCACACCTGAGTTCATTCTTTCCACTCTTGGGCTAACAACCTTCCCAAGTTCTCCAGCTACCATACTCACCACCAGCCAGCCTGGCCCCCCAGGACTGCTGACCACTGCGGCTCTGACCAGCTCCATTACTGTACCCGGGAGTTCCTCTGTCTCTGCACCAGAATCCTTCTCTACCCAAGCACCGTCCGTCTCCTCTTCCATGATGCCATCCCCCACTCCCACTGGTAAGTGGTTTTCCTTTACTTCATACTGTCTGCACTCCTGCCCCCCACCCATCCACGCTCTGCTGATGACCATCACCTGGGTCCCTTGGAGCCCACTCTGCTTCCTCTTCTCCTGTCGAGTCCACTCCTGTCTTACCATGCTCTGCACATGGCTACCCTTTGGCCTCTGTCTGCTCCATGTTGAGCACCTCCACTCCTGTGTCACCTCTGCGCCCCTAGTCCCTACAGCCCACACTGTTGACACCCTTTGGCCTCTGTCTGCTCCAGGTTGATCACCTCCACTCCTGTGTCACCTCTGCGCCCCTAGTCCCTACAGCCCACACTGCTGACTGATGGCTCCGCCACTCATGACTCTCCTCTGCCCCGACAGCCACCCACTTCCAGGGGCCACAGGGTGGAGCCAAGGCTCTGCTCAGGCCAGACACAGGCAGGCTTTGAGCTCTTGGTGAACCTTTGGTCAGTTTGTGCACGCCCCTTCCTCTCCCCACCCATCCCAGACAGCCCCTGGAAGGCTGGGAGCAGCTGTCGCCTTCCCTACAACTCATCTCATATGCTGGCTCTCCTTTTGCCACTGTGCGGGGCCCTGTCCCCAGGGCCATGGTCTAGGCCTTTCCTGTACCTCCTCCCTTGCTCCAGCCATCAGGGCCACACTACGGCCCACATACACACCTGTCCAGCAGACAGGCCCTCTGGGTCTGTAGCTGTACTTCCCTCCTGGCTTGCTCCACCTTGTCCCACCTCACTTCCCTCACTAAACAGCTACAGTCCCACCACCCCAAGGAGAGACGTCTCCTGACGTCTCCAGGCATCCCCAGAAGCACAGCTGGTCGACCCCGGAGCTCCATGTGTCCGGTCCCACTCAGGAAATGAAAGCCTGTCATGGTCAGAGATGTACCCACATGACACTGGGGCCCAGCTTCTGGTGCCCACTTTGCCTGCCCTCCTATATGCTGCCACAAGGCTCCTAGCCCTTACTGCATCTGCTGCCCCCCTGCTGTCCAAGTGTCCCACCTACCTCCTCCCCATACCCTACGGCTGCTGCCTGACTGTCCACCTCTCAAATCCCAGGGGTGTGCAGTGTTGAAGAGCGTGAGGTGGAGATCACGTACCAGGGATGTACAACGAATGTGACCATGACCCACTGCCAGGGCACGTGCCCCTCCTCTGCCAGGTCAGTTCTTACCCTGGCCAAGGTGGCCTCCCTGGCAGGCACACAGCTTTGTGGGGCAGCACGTGCTGGGTGGCCTGGGCTCTGCTGTATGGAGCGTTAACAGAGCAGGGCAGGACAAGGGCCCGGGGCATACACCGGGCCAAGGTGTGTCCCCAGAAACGGACAGTCCAACCCCAGTGAGCACTTTCCCCACACAGCTCCAGTCAGAATGCTTCCTGGGAGCAGGAGCTGAAGCTTGGGGCCCCTGCCCCCTCGCTAACATCCTGACACCCCTGTCCTGCGACTCTTTTACAGCTTCAACGTGGACACCAAACAGGTGGACACACTATGTGGCTGCTGCCATCCGCTAGTGTCCTACGAGAAGCAGTTGGTGCTGCCCTGCCCAGACCCAGCCGCTCCCGGGAACCAGCTGGTGCTCAACATTCAGATTTTTAGTAGCTGTGTGTGTGGCCGCCAGGCCTGCAGGGACTAGCAGGGTCCCTGTCCTCACTCCTGGGTTCAGAGGGCTGCAGTGACGCTGAGGAACCTGTTCCTCCTACAGCCCCCCTCCTGACCACTCAGCTGGCCCCGGAGACTCCTGAAGGGGAGCTCTGGCCCATGGCTCACCCCGGAGGCACCCACTGACCCTGTAGGAAGCTATACATGGCTGGAGGGGCCCAGCATGGATTCCGCTGCTCTGTGCAGAGGGTGACCTGAGGCATCTGCGTCCATCCACACTCCTGACCTTCGGCCAGCTCAGCTAGCCCTTGGAGCGGAGGGGAGGAGTCAGGGGTTGGGAGCCAGGCAGGATGGTGTTGCCCTGAGAAGGAGAGAGCGCCAGTGCCTCGTGTGGAGCTACATGGCCAAGAGGCAGGTCAGCAGCAAAAGGCAGAGAGGCCTCCTGACCAGTGGACATCGAGGAGGGCAGTCCTCACCTGTCCCTTACCTGCGCCCAGAGCAGCTTCCAGCCCCCCACCAACCTGCCCGCCCTGCGCCCTGAGTGTGTCTTCAGAAAAACCACTCCATTCTGAGGGTTTTCTGTGTAAACCAAGGGACAGAATGAAGCAACAAATAAAGTGGGTCTAACATGTCCACACCCACCACTTGTCTGTCAGTTTGTCCTACTGTGGTGGCTTGTGAGTTGCTGTGATTCTAGAA